GTATCTATTTTTCTAATACTTCTTTCCTCACTATGGGCAATAGAAATTTTATCTGTCTCTTCCTGATGTTAATCATAAGTGTCCTTTTTGTTGTCTCCTAACTTCGTTGCTTCAAAATATCTTCTTCATCGGTGACTGATATTAACAATCATTTCTTTGTTTCCAACGAATCTTGTCTTTTTGTAATCTCTCCAAAACCTTGCCCACCCATCCATTTTACTCAAGCTCATTTTCAGGATGTTGGCGATCATGGCTCTCCACAATTTCTTATGTAGCTCTTAATAAATTTTGTCTTTTTGTAATCTCTCCAAAACCTTGCTCCGCCATCCATTTTACTCAAAATCATTCTTCTTCTCTGTGGCGTGTCCCTTCAGGATGTTGGCGATCATGGCTCTCCACAATTTCCTGTCATTTGTGAATCTTGTCTTTTTGTAATCTCTCCAAAACCTTGCTCCGCCATCCGTTATACTCAAATTCATTTTTCGTTTTCTATGTCCCGTGTACCTTCAATACATTGGTGATCATGGCTCTCCACAATTTCCTAACTTTTGCAGCTCTTAATAAATTTTGTCTTTTTGTAATCTCTCCAAAACCTTTCTCCACCAAAAAAAGGAAAAATGAGTTTGAGTATAACACTCAAACTCATTTTTCCTTTTTTTTTTCATGTGCCGTGTCCATTCAGTGCTTTGGTGATTATGGTTTTCCACAATTTCCTGTCGTTTGTAGATCTTAATAATTTCTGTCATTTTAATTTCTTTCCAAAACCATCCATTTATACAAGCTTGATTGGTAGGTTATCAGTTGTTTTCCATCTGTCACTCTTGCCTTCGAGCTGTGAGTATCAAATTTTCCAAGCCCACTTTCCCCATTATGTACCCTAGAAATTTCATGTGTCTCTTTCTGATGATAAGTGTCCTTGGTGTTTCCGTTTTCTCTAAATTTCAAGTCTCTTCTTCATCTATGAGGAGATTGTCCAGCATTCACTGCCATATACGGGGACTGATATTACATAACAGTTCAGCTATCTTTTCTGTTGCTTCAAGTCTCTTCTTCATCTGTGAGGAGATTGCCCAGCATTCACTGCCATATAGGAGGACTGATATTACATAACAGTTCAGCTCTCTTTTCTTTGTTTTTGTTGATTCAAGTCTCTTCTTCATCTTTGAGGAGACTGTCCAGCATTCACTGCCATATAGGAAGAATGATATTACATAACATTTCAGCTCTCTTTTCTTTGTTTTTGTTGCTTCAAGTCTCTTCTTCATCTGAGAGGAGATTGCCCAGCATTCACTGTCATATAGGAGGACTGATATTACATAACAGTTCAGCTCTCTTATTCTTTGTTTCTCTTGCTTCAAGTCTCTTCTTCATCTGTGAGGAGATTGTCCAGCATTCACTGCCATATAGGAGGACTGATATTACATAACGGTTCAGTACTCATTTCTTTGTTTCTATTGCTTCAAGTCTCTTCTTCATCTTTGAGGAGATTGTCCAGCATTCACTGCCATATAGGAAGAATGATATTACATAACAGTTCAGCTCTCTTTTCTTTGTTTCTCTTGCTTCAATTCTCTTCTTCATCTGAGAGGAGATTGCCCAGCGTTCACTGTCATATAGGAGGACTGATATTACATAACAGTTCAGCTCTTTTTTCTTTGTTTCTCTTGCTTCAAGTCTCTTCTTCATCTGTGAGGAGATTGCCCAGCATTCACTGCCATATAGGAAGAATGATATTACATAACAGTTCAGCTCTCTTTTCTTTGTTTTTGTTGCTTCAAGTCTCTTCTTCATCTGAGAGGAGATTGCCCAGCGTTCACTGTCATATAGGAAGAATGATATTACATAACAGTTCAGCTCTCTTTTCTTTGTTTTTGTTGCTTCAAGTCTCTTCTTCATCTGAGAGGAGATTGCCCAGCATTCACTGCCATATAGGAGGACTGATATTACATAACGGTTCAGTACTCATTTCTTTGTTTCTCTTGCTTCAAGTCTCTTCTTCATCTGTGAGGAGATTGTCCAGCATTCACTGCCATATAGGAGGACTGATATTATATAACAGTTCAGCACTCATTTCTTTGTTTCTATTGCTTCAAGTCTCTTCTTCATCTGTGAGGAGATTGTCCAGCATTCACTGCCATATAGGTGGACTGATATTACATTACAGTCCAGTAGTCTTTTCTTTGTTTCTAACGATATTTTTTCCCTTTCTTACTCATCTTCATGATCATCACCATCATCCTTCGACCTCCCTGTGGTTGGTCGGGGTGCCATTTATTTTCCCCACTGTTCGGTCCTGTATTGTTATCCCCAGACCCCCAATGTCCAACCCTAACGTTCCGAGCTATGGTGTCTGGGAAAATCAGTTTCCCAGAATGATGCCATAGGAATACTTAATATTTTGCTGATCTTTCGCTATTCCAATGCACTTTCGGATTTTCGTGTCGCGCTTTCCATAGTCTGTTAATACACCTCCCAGATATCTAAATTGTGGCACCAGCATGATTTCGTTATCCCCGATATGTAATTTTTATGTTGGGCTGTCTCTTTTGCTAGAAACCATGCATTCAATCGTCTTGCCAAATCAAGGTCTAAAAATAACCAAAGATTACTGAATTAGGTTCTGTTTAAGGGTGAAACGGGAGAAGGAAAGGCTATAAGCATATGTAGGATAGATAAATGTTGAGTTCAGGGTTGAAGAGGTTTAGATTTTACTTATCTAGGCGAGTATCATGGGAACCTGCTCCAGAAAGTGACCATTGTGTGGACTAAGCTCTCTGGGTTGAACTTACTCCTTATCAAAGACTACGAACGGTATAATGACGAATTGACTCCATCTAAGTGGCTTTTAGCTGTAAATATCTGAAATTATGGAACTAACGAATGTAGCCCGTCTGAACATTTGCCATAGAAATAACGACAGCAATATATTTAAAAAAAAAATATTACCAGCAATACATTTTAGGAAAAAAAATTCCAGCAATTCATTTTTTAGCAAATATTTTTTTACAAGAAATACATTCAAAGAAATATTATCAGAAATATTATACATTTCGACAAAAAATATTACCAGCAATACATATTTGAAGAAAAAATTATCAGCAATATATTTTTGAAAAAAAAAATATTACAAGCATTGCATTCTTGAAAAAAAATATTACCAAAAATATATTTTTGAAAAAAAAATATTACCAGCAATACATTCTTGAAAAAAATTTTACCAGCAATACATTTTTGAAAAAAGATATTATCAGCAATACATTTAAGAAAAAAAAAGTTACCGACATTACATTTTTGAAAAAAAATATTACCAGAAATACATTTTGAAAAAGAAATATTACTAGCAATATATTTTTGAAAAAAAATATTACAAGCAATATATTTTTGAAAAAAAAATATTACCAGAAATAAATTTTTGAAAAAAAAAATATTACCAGCATTACATTTTGAAAAACAATATTGCCAGTAGTGCACTTTTGAAAAAAAAAAATATTATCAGGAATACATTCTTGAAAAAAAATTTTCAAAAAAAATATTACCAGCAATATATTTTTGAAAAGAAAATACTACAAACAATAAATTTTTGAAAAAAAAATTTTACCAGTAATACATTTTTGAAAAAAAAATAAAAAACTTATCAGCAATATTTTTTTTACAAAAAATATTACCAGCAACGCATTTTTGGAAAATAAATATTACTAGGAATACATTTTTTGAAAAAAAATGATATGACCAACAATATATTTTGAAAAAAAAAATATTACCAACAATATATTTTGAAAAAAATATTACCAGCAATACATTTTGAAAAAAAATATTACCAACAATATATTTTTGAAAAAAATATATCAAGCAATATATTTTGATAAAAAATATTACCAGCAATATATTTTGAAAAAAAATATTACCAGCAATACATTTTGAAAAAAAATATTACCAGCAATTTATTTTTGAAAAAAAATAACAGTAATACATTTAAAAAAAAATATTACCAGCAATATATTTTTGAAAAAAAAATACCAGCAATACATTTTGAAAAAAAATATTACCAGCAATATATTTTTGAAAAAAAAAATACCAGCAATACATTTTGAAAAAAAAATGTGACCAGCAATATATTTTTGAAAAACAAATATTACCAGCAATAAATTTTTGAAAAAAAAATATTACCAGCAATACATTTTTGAAAAACAAATATTACCAGCAATAAATTTTTGAAAAAAAAATATTACCAGCAATACATTTTGAAAAAAAAATATTACCAGCAATATATTTTTGAAAAAAAATACCAGCTATACATTTTGAAAAAAAAATATTACCAGCAATACATTTAAAAAAAAATATTACCAGCAATATATTTTTGAAAAAAAATACCAGCAATACATTTTGGAAAAAAAATGTGACCAGCAATATATTTTTGAAAAACAAATATTACCAGCAATACATTTTTGAAAAAAATACCAGCAATACATTTTGAAAGAAAAATGTGACCAGCAATATATTTTTGAAAAACAAATATTACCAGCAATACATTTTTGAAAAAAAATACCAGCAATACATTTTGAAAAAAAATATTACCAGCAATACATTTCTGGAAAAAAATACCAGCAATACATTTTGAAAAAAAATATTACCAGCAATATATTTTTGAAAAAAAAATACCAGCAATACATTTTTGAAAAAAAAATACCAGCAATACATTTTGAAAAAAAAAATATTACCAGCAATATATTTTTGAAAAACAAATATTACCAGCAATACATTTGTGTAAAAAATATTACAAGCAATAAATACCTTGTCGGCATTAAATAATCCATTGTGGTTGATATGCTGTAAAACAAAATAAACGGAACCAAACCTGTAAGCGTCAACTTTGAGAGGCTCTCAAGCCTTGTATTGGTTTATGTTTAGTCCTTTTAGTCGAACACTGTTTAGATGTTAGTCGTAAATGCTGTAGTAGTAATATATCCAGGTTTGTTCGCAAAATGTGCGTAATCTTATTATCACTTAATCGGACGCGTGTCAGCTGATAACGGTTTAGGGGGGGGTACGTCCGGGAAATAATTCCACTTCAGTATAATTGGATTGTTGTAGAGAGTAAGGAAGTGATTAGATGATATGAGGGAAGAAGATTCCAGAAGGAAATACAGACAAATAGAGAGGGGGGAGAGAAAGAGAAAGAGAGAGTAAGAGTAAGATAAAGAAAAAGAGAGAAAGCATGTGCTAGAGAAAGCGAGCGAGAGTGTGTGTGATAGAGATAGATAGAGAGAGAGAGAGAGAGAGAGAGAGAAAGTGGGATTGAAAGAAAACGAGAGAGGGTGAAAGTGAAGTGTTAGAGAAAGCAAGAGAAAGATAGAGAGGGAGAAAACGAGGGAGATAGAGAGATAGTGTGAGAGTAAACGAGAGTAGTGAAAGAGAGAAAAAGAGAGTGAGAGAAAAATGAAAGAGAGTGAAAGAAAGAGAGAGTGTGAGAGAGAACGAGAGAGAGAGAGAGAGTGAGTGACAGAGATTATGAGAGAAAACGATGGCGAGAGAGAAAGAACGTGTGAGAAAACTGGAGAGAGAGAGAGAGAAAGAATGAGAGAAAATGAGAATGAAATAGAGAAAAATAGAGAGAGTGTGAGAGAAAGCCAGTCAGACTTAGGGTTAATAAGAGAGAGAAAACAATAGGGAGATAAAACAAGAGAGAGTGAGTAAGAGTTAGAGAGTGAGAGTGAAGGAGAGAAAGAGCAAAAGGGAGACTTTTAGAGAAAACTAGAGATGGAAAGAGAGTGGTAGAGAAAGGGATAGTGTGAGTGAGATAGAGAAAGAGAGAGAGAGAGAGAGAGAGACGCCCAGAGTCAAGGAAAGAGGAAAGTTCGGGATAAAGAGAAAGTCTTGGAATGTGAAATACAAGAGCATATTTTGCGTTGCTGCGCTCATGTCACTAAAGTGGAAGATTTTACAAGTCTGCAATTGTACAGACTGCTCAACCAGTACAGCAAAGCAAGTGATTGAATGACTTTAAGGAAGATTGTTCCAGAGACATAGAAAGAGAGAGTGAGAGAAAGGTGAGAGGGAGGTATGAAGGGATAAAGTGGAGGGAGAAATAAAAGAGAAAATGAAAGAGAAAGAAAGAGAGAGAAAAGATTTGAGGGATATGTATAAAGGGATAGAGAGTGAGAAATAAGAGAAAGAGACGGAGAGAGGTCTATAGGCAGAGTGAGAGGACGGGTGTGTGAGAGGGAGTGACAAAGTGGTGGGAGAAATAAAAGAGAAAATGATAGAGAAAAGAAGGTGAGAGGGAGAAAGGATGTGAGGGAGGGGTATAAAGGAAGAGAGAGTGAGAAATAAGAGAGAGAAAGAGAGGGAGAGAGGTCTATAGGCAGAGTGAGAGGACGAGTGTGTGAGAGGGAGTGACAAAGTGGAGGGAGAAATAAAAGAGAAAATGATAGAGAAAAGACGGAGAGAGGGAGAAAGGATGTGAGGGAGGAGTATAAAGGAAGAGAGAGTGAGAAATAAGAGAGATAAAGAGAGGGAGAGAGGTCTATAGGCAGAGTGAGAGGACGAGTGTGTGAGAGGGAGTTATGAAGTGAGAAAATGGAGGGAGAAATAAAAGAGAAAACGATGGAGAAGAGAGGGAGAGAGGGAGATAGGATTTGAGGGAGGGGTACAAAGGGAGAGAGATTGAGAAATAAGAGAGATAAAGAGAGGGAGAGAGATATATAGGCAGAGTGTGAGAACGAGTGTGTGAGAGGGTGTTATGAAGTGAGAAATTGGGAGAGAAATAAAAGAGAGGGTGTTATGAAGTGAGAAATTGGGAGAGAAATAAAAGAGAAAATGATAGAGAAGTGAGGGAGAGAGGTAGAAAGGATGTGACGGAGGGTTATAAAGGGAGATAGAATGAGAAAAAAGAGAGAGTTAGCGAGAAAGAGAGAGCTAGAGAGAGAGAAAGAGAGAGCAAGTAAGTAAGTGGGAGGTGGGTGAGTGAGAGTGAAATGAAAGAGAAAGTGCGAGATAAGGATAGGGAGAGAGACAAAGTGTGAGTGGGTGAGTATGTGAATGAGACGTATAAAGAGAAAGAGAGTGGGAGTGAGAAATGAAAGATATAGTGAAAGATAAAGAGAGGAAGAGAGAGAAAATGAGAGTGAGAGATCGAGTGTGTGATTGAGAGGTATAATGAATGAGAGAGCGAGAAAGAAGAATAAGAGAGAAAATAAGAGATAAAGTAGGGGGTAGAGAGAAAGAAAGAGTGAGATGAGTGAGTGAGTGGTATAAGGAGAAAGAGAAATAAGAGTGACAGTGAGAAACAAAGTGAGTGAGAGAAAAGAGAGAGCGAGTGTGTGCGTGAGAGATATAAAGAGAGAATGAGAGGGAGAGAAATAAGTGAGATAGGGAGACATAAAGATAAGGAGGGAGACAAAGAGATAGTGAAAGTGAGAGAGAGAGTGTCTGATTGAGGTATAAAAGGAGAGCGTGAAAGACATAAATGCGAGAGAAGATGAGAAATTAAGAGAAAGCGAAAGAACGTGATAGTGATTGTGTGAGTGGGAGGCAAAGAGGGAGAGAGAGAAATAAGAGAGACAGTGAGAGATAAAGAAGGGGAGAGAGAGAAATAAGAGAGATAGTGAGATATAAAGCGAGAGAGAGAGAGAGAGAGAGAAAAGGAGAGAAAGAGACGACCAGAGCAAAGGAAAGGGGAAAGATTGTGATTAAGAGAGAGGCGTGGAATCAGAAAGAACACCATATTTTGTACTGTTGTACTCAAGATATAGGTGAAAGGTTTTACAAGTCCACAATTGTACAGACTACTCAGCCAGAAGAGCGAGATCACAGTTTATTCTCCCATTGCCTATAATGAAACGCTAAAGTTGATTCGGAATCAGGTAATGGTTAACGATCCTACACTGGTTCATCATTGCTACCGAGTTTAATCCTACATTATTTCATATTACTATAAACGTACTTCTTCTATGATCATGGCTATCCACAACTTCCTGTTTTTTGCAGCACTTAATAATATAAGGGTCATTCAATAAATAAGGTGAATTTTTCGGTATAAGGACTTCTAATACAAATAGAAACTTACATATCTTTTTATTTTTCAACATAGTCTCCCAGCATTGTCACACACTTTTCCCATCTGTGCACAAGCTTCCCTATTCCCTCAGCGTAAAAATCTTTGGACTGATGTCTCAGCCAGTCGCTCAAAACACTTTTGACTTCATCGTCTCTTTTAAACTTCGTGCCTCTCGTGAACGCTTTCAAGGGACCAAACAGGTGAAAATCTGAAGGGGCAAGGTCTGGGCTGTAAGGGGGATGAGGGAGCAGTTCCCAGCCCAACTCGTTAATGGTCTGCACCGTTTGGGCTGCTGTGTGAGGTCTTGCGTTTTCATGATGCAAGATGACTTCTTCTGACTGATGACCCCTGCGTTTGTTCTTTATGTCTTTCTTGACATGCCTCAGCACTTCACAATAGTTCTTCTGTCAGACTGAATGAGGTCATTGACTGATTCGATCACCTCAGGAGATTACACTTCTGTAGGCCTCCCAGGCCTGTCTTCAACCTCAACACTGCTCCGTCCTTCTTTAAACAATTTAGCCCACTTGTAGACATTTTTTGGCTGAAACATGTGGCACCATACACAATTGACATTCTCTTATGAATTTCAACAGGTTTGCACCCTTCAGCAACCAAAAATTTGATAACTGACCGCTGTTCAATTTTAGAGCATGCTTCTTGGTCGGCCATCTTTGTTAATCGCCAAAACTCTTAAAGTTTTTTTTTTATCTGCAAAAGAAATTAAATCCATGTAAAAAAGAAGTAAAACAAAAAATAAATAAATAAAAGTAAGCTTTTATCTGTATTAGAAGTCCTTATACCAAAAAATTCACCTTATTTTTTGAATGACCCTCGTATATATATATATATATATATATATATATATATATATATATATATATGACAATTTCTCGGACATTCAGGCCGGTAAATGTTGTTAATACTGTTTATTATAAACAGAGCATTTACTTAAATATTTGTATCTATAAAAAGAACGTATAAACATAAAAATGTCTTAATATATGTTAAGACATTTTTATGTTCATATATATATATATACATAACATTAATACCTGGTCACTCGTATTCGAGGATACGCATCTACTAGAGCGGATATCTAATTCCTATTGTAGACTCTTGCTCAGGCGTATTTTGTGTTTGTTCAAATTTAACCACTCGAGCGGTATGCATTATCGTCTTGGAAGATGCAGTCACCATCAGGGAATAAAGTCTTGGCCATTGGATGAACATGATCTTCCAAAATGTTCAGGTAATCTTTGCTGTTGATTCTACCATGCAGGGCAACTATTGGGCTGAGACATTTCCATGATATGGCGGCTCAAACTATCACTGATCCACCTCCATGCTTCACTGTTGGAAGAAGGCAGTCAGGGTTGTAAGCTTCTTTGGGCTGCCTCCACACATAAACTCGCCCTGAAGTTGGGAAAAGAGAAAAACTAGACTTGTTTGAGAATATGACTTGCTTCCATTGGTCTGCAGACCAGGTATTGTGATCTCTGCACCACTTCAACCTCTTTTGAATGTTGCAAGTGGAGAGAAGAGGTTTCCTCACAGAGGCTCTTCCATGATATGCAGCCTTATGGAGCTCACGGTGAACAGTTTTAGTAGAAACTGAACTATTCAAATGGTTATTCAACTCAGCAGTCACATTGGCTGTATTCGTCCGATAATTTTTTTGCCAAATTGCGTTTCAATGCACGTCAGGCCCTGTCAGTAAGTTTACAAGTCCGGCCCGAATTGCTACGGTTGCTAGAGGTCTTGTCCTGTTTCTCGAATTGCATCCGTGTTCTTGATATGGTATCTCTTGAAAAACCAAACAGTTCAGCAACCTTAGTGATCGAGGCTCCTGCCATGCGAGCTCTAACAATTTGCTCTTTTTCGAACTCGCAGAGGTCACGCATTTAGCTTAAATTTTAATAAATTCCAAAAATAAATAAGACAAAGACAGTCAATTAGATAAATAAACGTATTTACAATAGATATAACCTGCAATTACGAAGTTTTAGTTGAAGTTCTTAATATAATTGGTCTTTTGAAATATAGGAGTAGATTTGCAACTGTTCCAATTATTTTGTCCAACCCTGTAATTATATATATATATATATATATATATATATATATATATATATATATATATATATATAATAGTATAAATAAAGAACAGCAAGATATGTAATCCGGTATTCTTATTGATATTTTTATTTTTACAAAACAGTGCTCAATGTAAATTATATATTAACTGATTTAAAATATGATTGCTTTGCTACACAGGAATTACTATGAAATCATTTCTAATTTTCATTTTGGCTTGAAATTGGTTCCAGTAAACCAATGGACACTTGAAGCAGCCAAACACATGACTACAAACAAAGAAAACACATAATCCATGATAAAACCAATCGGGTGAAATACAAATTTTATATCAATATCAAGCCTAACAATTTAGTCATAATTTGGGAGAACTAAATAACAAGTTGGACAGTTACACTTTGTAGGTATATGAAAACGTGTTCATATATATATATATATATATATATATATATATATATATATATATATTATAAATTAATTGATTTAAAATAAATCAATTAATTTATAATACTTATGGTCTGTAAATTTACATTGAGCACTATTTTGTAAAAATAAAAGTATCTATAAGAACACCAGATTATATATCTTACTGTTCTTTCTTTATGGTTGGATTGATGTGAGTTTGTGACCCTGGGTTTCACGCTTTTGCGATCGTCAGACAAACTGATTATTTTTTTTTTTAATTTTGGGTTTATGTAGATTGCGTGTGTTGGTGTTATTATGGGAGTGGGGGGAATCGTCGTCGTGGTGTCACTCATGCTAACGCAAACATAGATGCATGTCCGTACACCCGATGAGGTACGCAGACACACATACACACACACACGCTCGTCCGTCGAGGCTATGTGGACAGTTTCGGATTTGACATATGTATGTATATGGGTGGTGTTGTGTCTATGCATACGCATTTGTATGTTGAAATTCAAAGATTGGAAGTGTAGCGAAAATTTCTCGTGAATGTATACATGTCAGCAATCAGAGCATTTTTCTATTTTTTCACTGAGTATTATTTCCTCGCAGGTATGTATATACGTGTGGTGGGGTCTGTGTAAAATTATGATAGGTAAAAATTACTATTATTTTTATTTTAATTTTAATAAAAAAAAGGTTATTTGTTATTATTTTAAAGCTGGTTATTTGCTTGTTTTTGATGACTGTGTATATGTAACTGGTAGAAATTTCGGTTTGTAATCCTTATTGGTTATTTTTTTTATGGTAGTCTCCCCCAGTATATTTAATACCACCATAAAAGATAACCAATAAGGATTACAAACCGAAATTTCTGAGGATGATCTTGGAGGAGATCGAAAGTACTTGGGTAGGAAAAAACTACCGCACCTTCTTTGATGAATTTCATCTTACTATCAAGAAACTGATTAAAGAACTGGAAAAGATCATTATAAAAATAAATAGGCATAAATTTATGAATTTAAGTGCAGTACTAGATTGGCACCAAGTTTTTACAGTTGAAATAGCTAGCTGTAATTATGAGTTCTATGTTTACAGTTTCATTTCTCACACTTCTCACTTGTGGAACTCTTTTCAGGTTTCATGCTTTGCTGCCAACTTTGATCTCCAAAAATTACTCACGTTTCAGTTGCATTTCCTTTACGCTGACTGCGTTGCATTCCCTTTCTCACGTTGATTACAAGAACAAACGTTTTTTTCTAAAGACAAGCAATAATAATAATAATACACAAAATTCAAACCGCTCTATCGGCTGGGGCTTCAAAATACGCCGACTACCCCTCTGCATAGGGATAAGACATCCCCCCCCCCAACGGAGGCGTCCAGAGTAAGACGATAAACTACGTCCAGCAGCAAGGCCTCTGATCAGGAGGTTTTGAGTAGCGTGGAACGACCTCTTAATTGCTGGTGTACCCAGGTCCACCCTGACCCGGGGTGGTAGCACCTGTTAGGGTCCCAGCTATGGGCAAGTAGTTGAGCCCACCCAAAACAGGGGTCAAAACACTATGAAAGTGTAAAAATAAATTTTAATACCATCAATACATTTTTGTAAAAAATTATTACTAGTAATGAATTTTTGAAGAAAAGATATTGCCAGCAATACATCACTAAAGGAAAAAATATTACCAGCAATATATTTTTGACGAAAGACAAAAAATATTAGCAGGAATACATTTTTAGGAAAAATATATTAGGAGCAATAAAAATCTTGTCGGCATTAAATAACGCATTGAAGTTGATATACCGTAAAACAAAGAGAATCATAACGATTTCTTCAGAATGTGGTAGTTGTATGATCCCCATTTGATATACGCAACCCAATGTACCAAACATGACTATTTATGTGGGTTGCACAAGGGAAAACTCAGACGAAAGATTTAATGTTCCACAGATATAATTTCAGACACGACAATGTGACATCAACAGAATTTGCAGAGCATTTTATCACAAAAGACTATCGTTTCAACGAACATCATGAGATACACATTCTAAATCAATACCCAGAATCCACTGACCTTTCAACTCTTAAAATGCATGAAGATCATTACATATGCAAATTACTAACGTCCCAACCCGAGGAGGAGGGAGGAACAAAATAACACGAGAGTTCCATAAGATTTCTCCTAAACTATTTGATTAATTCCTCTTATTAACTAATAAACTACTGCTTAGGTTTCAGTTGTATTTCATTCACGTTGGCTGCCTTTCAGTCGCTTTGTCCCGTTGATTACCAGTACAACCATTTTTCTCAAGGTCAGCTACGTTTGTACAAAGACGTATTTTTCATAGAATTTTTATATATATTTTTTGTATACACAATTGTACATAATTTTTGAAATTTTTACGCCATGTTTTTTTTTAGTAGGTGCTCTGTGTGTGTGTGGCATTTTGGTGTATGTAGGGGCGAATGGTGACGAATAGATTCTTAAGTTGAATGAGTAAGTTGTAACGAATGAATGGGTTGCTAATCTGATTAGCTAGGTTGTCAGAGTAAGCCCCTCCTTAATTCCCAAATTGTCACTCAGGGTCATTCTCTCTATACTATAAATACTGGGCGACTTCTCGCCTCGTTCTCTTTTTTATTTCTTCATTTCAGCGACTGCAATGTAAGCTCTCTTAGAAGATCCGCGTCTTCCTAATTGTGGGAGACTCCGTGAACATTATACACACATACACGTACGTACGAACATCCACCAAAGAACAGACACCAATGTTTACACACACACAAATGTTATTGTCCATTGTAAAATTTTTTTGCTTAATACATATATTTGCTTATATATATATATATATATATATATATATATATATATATATATATATATATATATATATATATCGGTTTTCTCTGTCTTCAATTGGACTTAATTCAAGTCCGGCCATTTTCTTGTATTTCAGGAAATAAACATGCACGTGTCCCAAATAATGCAACAACACGCAAACCCACACGGTCTTCAACAAATTGGTTACCTTCCGACGTGATTGAATTTTCAACTCCTGCTAACAGACACAAGACGGTATATATGTGCAGAACAAAGTCTCTCCGGCGCGCAAATAGAATTTTTTTCTACAAAACGTGGAAATCACAGAAGCTCGAATCGGCACTAAACTACAATTACTACTACCATGACACGAGCCTTACAACACTCCTTCTCACACTTGTCTATTTGCTTGACCCTTTCTTTCTCCCGGCGACGTTTGACCCAATTTCACCCGGCTTACCAAACGGAAAACGCAACGCCATTTTCAACTAATTAACACTCTCTTCTTCTGGACTGAAATAGACAAAGTGTGAAAACACATCTCAAAAGGCGACTCACTCAACCAGACTTGACTCCTCTTCTCCCTTTTTTAGGTCTTGTGCCACAATTACTATATTTAATCAGTATTAAATCGTAGACAACAATCCAAAACCCCAAAGACAAAACTAATCTTATAGTAGGCGGAAGAGTTCAACGTAGCCTCTTTAGAAAGGGGACAACACAACATTTTTCTTCTTAAACAGAGAAAAAAAAAATGAATATCGTTGAAAGAGAAAAGTTTCAGTAATTACAGTATATTTACTTTTATTTTTCGGTCTGTCTCCAGGCTCCTCTTAAAATCAAAATGTTCAAAATTGGATTCGTCTGCTATCATTGTTAACCCTTCTCAGTAGTATTTTTGAGATTGTCAAAAGGATTGGAGATTTGATTCTGGTCAAGGTAACAGTGAAAAAAGAACAGTATATTTCCCATTTGTAAAGACATGCTATGCAGTCTGATTTACGAATAACTGGGAAAAAATCACCTTTCAACAGGACAACGTATGTAGGAGCGAATGGTGACGGATAGATTCTTATGGTGAGTTACTAAATTGTAACGAATAAATGGGTCGTGAGTCTGATTAGCTAGGGATGAGTTAGTGTGTGTCAACCAGATTTGACCAATCTCCTCCCTTTTTAGGCCTTGTGCCACACTTACTATATTTAATCAGTATTAAATCGTAGACAACAATCTAAAACACTCTTCTAAAAATGTTGCTTGTTTTGTTATCGTTTGATGAAAGAAAGCAATGATTTGTGAATAGGACTTATTATTTTTTTTCACTTAATAGTAGCCAATATTCGATGAGAAAAATATATTTAATCTAAGGGTCAACCTATAATATTTAGCATAATGTTTGATAATCTAGTGAAAATAAATGAATTAACATTTTTAAAATTGCATTAAATAATTATATATGTTTTTTTTAAATTGCTATTGAAGATATCTTTTTGGGTTCAAGTGTTTGAGTTGTTATCGCTGTTAAATGGTTAAAGAAATAACAAAACAAGAGTTACATATATTGTCATATATTAAACAGTAAGTACAACAGAAGAGTAATACACGATTAGTGAGTGTGTGTCGGTTGACCCAGCGTTCAATCTATTTGACTGTTAATATTTAACACTTCCCCCCCCCCCACAAGGGATGTATGTAACACAAGGCCGAGTTTACCGTGGGTTCTCCGAGCCCGTAGGCTCGGCCAAAAATATTCCTTTCGAACCCGTATAAACGGGTTCAGGGCCTGTCCACCTCCCCGGACGAAAATTTGCCCTGCGGTAAAGCCTCGTCCGGGTTCCTTTCTGCTCAAGGCAGAGAGTTCGACAGTAACGAACAATCTATTCGACTGTTAATATTTAACAGACCCCTACACGAGGGATGTATGTGGCACAAGGCCGAGTTTACCGTGGATTCTCAGAGCCCGTAGGCTCGGACAAAAATATTCCCTTCGAACCCGTATAAACGGGTTCAGGGCCTGTCTACCGGGCGAAACTTTGCCCTTCGGCAAAGCCTCGTCCGGGTTCCTTTCTGCTCGAGGCAGAGAGTTCGACAGATGAGCAATCTATGCGACTGTTCCCTCAGGGCCTTCTCTCCTACTAATCTTATAGTAGGCGGAAGAGTCCAACATAGACTCTTTAGAGGGAGGACACCACAACACTTTTCAACCTACTGCTTTTAAAATTTTCAATATTTTGTCATGTTCAACAAGACAACGTATGTAAAGAGCGAATGGTGACGGATATATTATTATGGTGAGTGAGTAAATTGTAACGAATGAATGGGTCGTGAATCTGATTAGCTAGGTAGAAGATAGATAGTTTTTACCAGACTTGACTCAACTCCTCCTTTTTTCGGCCTTGTGCCACACTTATTGTATACAGTTAGTAATAAGTCGTAGACTTGTATTTTGCTAGAATTGTATACATTTTAAAACTTAACATGAACACCGACATAATATTGTAATAATGTCAAACATTGTTTAAATGGTTTATTTTCTTTTCTTTTTCAATTATCGCCATGAATTTTCTTCCTTGTCACGTTTGCTTTGGTTTGGTTTGGTTTATTTTGTTTTACGGCATATCAACCTCAATAGATTATTTAATGCCGACAACATTTTTAGGATAGATTCGTATGAATAGAATATGTATTCTTTGGTTTAGATTGGTTTGGTTTATTTTGTTTTACGGTGTATCAACCTCAATAGGTTATTTAATGCTGACAAAATTTTTTATTCATGGTAATATTTTCTTTTGTCAAAAATCTGTTTCTGGTAATATATTTCCTTAAAAATTGTATTGCTGGTAATAATTTTTTTCAAAAAAGTATTGCTGGTAATAGTTAAGTATTTGCCCATAGCTGGGACCCTAACAGGTGCTACCACCCCGGGTCTGGGTAGATCTCTTGATCAGGGGCCTTGCTGCTGGACGTAGTTTAACGTCTTACCCAGGACGACCCTGTGCCCTTTCTATAAATACTTTCATGGTAATTGTTCGCTATGGTAGCTTGACTTTAGGAATTTAAGCTCAGTAACAAGGTCTCATCAATTTACCGTTGAATTGGCTAGACGCCAATGCTAACAGTCTCTTCTATCGCACTTCTCCCCTGTGGAACACTCTTCTGGCTTTTTCCTTCCTAGCCGAGTTTGATCTTCAAAAATTTAAATGTCATGTCAATCGTTATCTACTGTCTTCTTAATTCTTGTTCTTTTATTGCTCTATTTTCTTAATAGTGTTTTTGTTGTTTTGTTCATATTCTCAATAACAGTAACTCCTTGCGTCTTAGTGGCTTTATTGCCTTGCTTGGAGAGAAATAATTTAAAAAAAAATAGCGTTAAACCATCTCAACGGCCTGGTATGAATTACATCCAAAAGCAAGGCCTCTGATCAGGAGGTTTTGAGGAGCGTGGAACCACCTCTTAATTGCTGGTGTTTCCAGGTTCACCCTACTCCAGGGTGGTAGCACCTGTTGGGGTCCCAGTTATGGGGAAATAGTTAACACCCAAACTGGGATCAAAACACTATGAGAGTGTAAAAATAGGTTTTAATACCAGCAATACATTTTAGCAAAAATTGTTTCAAGCAATAAATTTATGAAGAAAAATTATTGCCAGCAAAACATTTTTAAAGGGAAAAATATTATCAGCAATAAATATCTTGGCGTCATTAAATAACCCATTGAGGTGTTGATATGCCGTAAAACAAAACAAACGTAAACCAACATAAACTGAGATAGATAGATAGATAGATAGATAGATAGATAGATAGATAGATAGATAGATAGATAAAAAAAATATTACCAGCAATAGAAATCTTGTCGGCATTAAATAACCCATTGAGGTTGATATGCCGTAAAGGAAAAAAAAAACAAAAAAAAAACAGTATATAATGAGATAGATAGATAGATAGATAGATAGATAGATAGATAGATAGATAGATAGATTAGCAGCAATAAAATCTTGTCGGCATCAAATAACCCATTGCGGTGGATATGCCGTAAAACAAAACAAAACAAATCATCACAAAATTGGACTTAGAGCTGCAAGAAAGGCAACGACTTTGTTAATCATTTTTGGTATTTAATAAAAGAAAAACGAAATAAATACTCATCCATATTTCCAAAACATAAGGCAACCGAAATTGCTTTTATCAAAAATAGTTCTGTATTAATGTCGATTCGTGCTTTTAGTTTGTGCTAGTCCATCTCGGCTGAAAACAAGTCCTTCGCACATAGCAACCAATGCAACAAATATTGTCTCCGTGGATAAATGTATTGGGCTAGAAAAGGACTGCGGCGGCGAACCGCTTCGATGACACGTTTGACTCACGATTTGATTATAGCATCAGTATCGATTACTTGTTGACGCCGTTATCATCGGATCATTTTTACCGTTCTTCGAAACTTAATCGAATGCAGACATGAAAGAAAAAGTACGGGTAAACAACATTTACTGTTATGAACTGCTTTTTTTTTGTTTTGTTTTTGATTTTCATTTTTCTTTGTGATTTTTTCTTTTCTTTTTATTATCTATGTCATAAAATTGAATATGAGTCGCATTGTTCCGAGGTGAAGACTGTTACAGATCGATACAAATAAATGTGAATAGATAGATATATAGATAGAAAGAAAGAAAAAAACAGACTGAGATAGATAGATAGATAGATAGATAGATAGATAGATAGATAGATAGATAGATAGATAGATAGATAGAAACAGACTGAGAAAGAAAGAAAGAAAGAGAGAAAGAAAGAAAGAAAGAAAGAAAGAAACAAACAAACAAACAGATAGATAGATAGATAGATAGATAGATAGATAGATAGATAGATAGATAGATAGATAGATAGATAGAAAAAAAACAGACTGAGATAGATAGATAGATAGATAGATAGATAGATAGAGATAGATAGATAGAAATAAACAGACAAAGAAAGAAAGAAAGAAAGAAAGAAAGAAAGAAAGAAAGAAAGAAAGAAAGAAAGAAAGAAAGAAAGAAAAACAGGCTGAGATAGATAGACAGAAAGAAACAGACTGGGATAGATAGATAGATAGATAGATAGATAGATAGATAGATAGATAGATAGATAGATAGATAAGAAAGAAAGAAAGAAACAGACTGAGATAGATAGATAGATAGATAGATAGATAGATAGATAGATAGATAGATAGATAGATAGATAGGAACAGAATGAATAGATAGATAGATAAATATGAACACTTGCTGATTGATAAGCTATGACTTAGGTTGATAAATATTTATAGATATATATCAATAGATACATAGAAAAAGTTTCAGTTAGTTTAAATCTAAAAATAAAAACTAAAAACGAAAGATATTTGTTAAGAACTGTCACAGCCTATTTGATTGTACCTGTTCGAGATTTATTCATTATAAATGTCTTCCTGTCTGCTCTTCTTTTGTCGCCATTTTGTGCTCAACAGGCGTGAAACTCCGAAAAAAATGCTTACTTTGGCAATTTGGAAAATTAAACCCAATGATTTTTCTTGCTAATGAAAACGAGGCGTCGAATAAGAACAATCTTACAATTAGAAAAAAAAAACGGTATGCGCCATTTCTCGCTAAGAAGGAACCACTGTCTTAATACATTTCGAATCAAAATTGTATTCTTTAAATTGATTTGAATTGCAAGTAATTTTCGGAAGATCTTTTGCCAAATTCGAAAGCTTAATGAAGTAGCGAATAATTTTGTCTGTAATTTGGAAAAATGTCATTATTATGGCATATGTTATTTAGTCTATTGAATTCATTGATAGCATATTCTGTCTTAAGCTAAACTAATCTTAAAGAAGAAAGGTACAATGAAAGACAAATTGAAAAAGTTCTTTCTTACTGTTATCACTTATGATTTAAAACTCTTTTCTTTTGATGACAGTTTTCTCATTTTCATTGTGGTAAAGGACAAAATGGCATGCTCGGCTTCACTAAAAGTGGCTCAGATAGATGTATTTACTTAATTTCTTTTTCAAACTTTTCATTGGCTGAAAAAAAAACAATTTTACTTTTTTTTAATTTAATCTTGAGCCGATTTTGAATATCACGTTTTGAACCGGAAATTGTTTCACTGAAAGGCCGTTATTGGTTTTTAATTTCCAGACGTCTGACAAGGAATCCAGTTCGATTGTATAAGAAATTCTACACTCACCGGTGCCCCATATAGGTTTCTCTGTGTTGTAATAACCTAACATTAGTAAATATCAACTATATGAATAGCTGACCCAGTGCAATGATTTGCAATTTAATTTATATCGCGTTCTTATATGGAAAATTATCATTTATCAACTTAGTAAATTAAAACGCTTTTTTAAATAAACGTTCGGTTGGAAATTATGACATCTTTTAGACGCTGCTTCCCAACAGAGTACGAGCGTTCATGGCTTTCCACAACTTTCTATCTTTTGTGGTCCTTAACAGAAGGCGGGCGATTCAAATGATCTTGGAGTCCGTCGAAAAGGCCACCAGGTGGCTGTGGATAAATAGGGCTAATTGTTGTTTATGATGACGGTCGTCTTTGAGTATAGAATCCAGAGGTTAGCAGTGAATATTTCGAAGACAGTAGGAAAGTGTTGTTCAGGTTAGCAGTGGATATCCCGGTAAAGTAGCAGAGCGTAGTTATTGCTTCTTTTCCTCTTCGCCTGACAAGCTGGCACTGGACATTCGGAGAGAGTAAACAAAATGGCCGCCTTTATACACGACGGATTGAATATTTTACTTCTTCTGATTGGCTATAAAATGAGTCAAGTCATTTGGGCTAGCTCACTAGTACATATATAAATACACAAAAAAACTGCAACACTAATGAATGGCCCAAAACTACTAAAAATACGAACGTTCCCAGTGTAGATGAACATACGTCGTAAATACCACCAATAAATGCTGTTAAAACTTTAAAGTATATATAGATTGTGTATATATGTATATTAAAATTGTATATATAGATGACGAGAAGCTTCAGAGAAACAATTTATTCGAATTGCATTCAGTCGCATATTCAACGACTTTATTTTTGCTTTTTACTGGTCGTTCGAGTAGATTTATTTTATTATAAAAATATTCTTAATCTTTTCTTTTCTTTACTCGCAATTTTTTTTTTTTTCGCAATTACCCATATTTTGTTTCTAATTTTTTTTTTGTCGTATTTACTCGTTTTTTTTTTTCAATCGGTTTTCTTTAAGGAATTTTATTTTTTAGGAGTAACTTATTTTAACTAAATTTACACGCTATTTTTTCTTTTAACTATTATTCAATATGTAAATAAATATCTTGATTAATTTATTTTAAGCAATTTTAGTTATGTTATTTCTCTTAGATTTTAAACTAATTTCTTTCTGTTAAGGATAAGTTTTTGGGGAGTAACCTATTTTAACTAAAATTTACACGTTATTATGTTTTTTCTTAACTAGTATTTAACATGTAAATATCTAGATTAATGTAAGTTTAAGCAATTTTAGTTAAATGTTATTTCTCTTAGTTTTTAAACGGAATGTATTAGAGTATCAATCAATATCCCAAATTATTCATACCGCATTTTAGGAGTTTTCTTTGTGTAAATAGTCTAAATCATTTTAATCACTCTGTTGTAAACATTTTGTTAAGTGTAGTTAAGAAAAAATAAGAATAAAAGGGAAAGTCATAAAAAAAAGAAAGATCAAACAAATAGGATATAATAAAGAAGTTAAAAGGGGAGGAAGAGAAAGAAAAGTCGTAAGATGAGCCAATATAATAAATCGTTTTTATTTTATTAATATATATATATATATATATATATATATATATATATATTGGGTTGTTTTCTTCTCGTCTTCCAAAAAAAAAACACCCTGTTTTGGACGCATGTAGGAAGATCAGTACAACCGAGCATACCCAATCTATAACATCGAATAGCCCAAGTGAAGTCTTGATTAGTTACCGTTTTCTGGGGGAACTTTTACAAAATGGTGGTGTAATGGTTAGCAAGCTTGTCTCGCTAGAACAATTACGACTGAGTAGTGAGTTCGATCCTCACTGGGTGCCCACTACTTTCGGCCTTGTGCCACATATAAGCTACGCTTGGAAAATCGCTATAAAGCACGTCCTAAAGCTAGTAGCAAATTTTATTCTGGGTGCGGGCCGAATACTGGTCATATTCGGTCAGGTCGCCCATCGAAGACGTTTGTTGTTTATTTAGACCCGAAACTTCTAGTGACATGGGAGCAACAACACTAACGACACACCAAGATTCGGAACGTAAAGGTGTATATTTAATAATTATCATTTATCAACTTAGTAAATTAAAAAGCTTTTTCAAATAAACGTTCCGTTGGAAATTATGATATTCTTTTATACGCTGCTTCCCAACAAAGTATGGGCTTTCATAGCTTTTCGCAACTTCCTATCTCCTGTGGTCCTTAACATTCTTTACCCCTCTGCTAAGTCTCCCACCTCACGTTCCTCCATCCATCAACACAAGCTGGTCAAGTAGACGGCTCGCTGCTTTCTCCTATCTCCCCTGCCCTCAACATGCCTTGTGAGGGTTAAGTTTTCCAAGCCGTCCTTCCTAATTATATGTCCAATGAATTTCAGCTGTTTCTGAGTATAAATGTTCTTTCTGTTGCCATTTTGAATAACACAGAAAAAGTCGTAATACAAGGATGTGTCTTCTCACCGGACTTATTCAACCTATACAGTGGGATGCTTCTCAAAGAAATCCTACCATGTTACAGTATCGGTGGACACAATATTAGAAAAATCCAGAATCTATACTGGCAGCAAACTACCTGCATACAGACAGGGAATGAATTCAGGAAACATAGAAAATATAAAGTTCAATAAGACAAGGATGTGTCTTCTCACCGGACTTATTCAACCTATAAAGTGAGGCTATTCCGAGAGATTTAGAACTCCTGCATGGATTAGCTGCCACAATATTGATAACATAAGACATTCAAATGAGGCAGTGATTATAGCAGACACAAATGAAACTACAAAGGCAGTGAAGGAAAGCAAGAAGAAAGGACTAAACACCAATTGCAAGAAAACAGGATGCATGGGCGTTAGCCCAACATCCAGATTATAAATTGAAGCTACCAAAATCCAACAAGTACAACAATTTAAATATCCGGGAAGTGTTTTTAACAGAGGATCGAAAGTGCAACACTGAAATCTGAAGGAGTATTGGGATAGCGAAAGATGCCTTCTAAAAGCTAAGCAAAAAAACGTACTGAACTCTTACGTAATATCAGTCCACGTATACGTCAGTGAATTCTAGACAATCTCCTAACAGATGAAGAAGCGATTTGAAGCAACAAATATGTGCTTCTACAACAGAATGATGAGAATTCCATGAACCGAACATATGAGCAATGGCAAAGTTTTAGAGAAAATGCAAACAAAAGTGACACTCATGCATAACCTTGAGGAGACACGGTGAAGTAATGGATAGCCGCTCGGATTGAGGAATCAGAGAGCCGAGTTCGAATTCCAGTCGAATCCATTACATTCACTTATGTGCTAATACCCTTGGGAAAGGTATGAATCCTCTTCCTCTCCCTCCAGCTATGGGTAAATAGCAGGACAGACGGGGTTCTATAGCCTTGGATGGCAACTGGTCTACCGCAGAAAGAAATGGCAACCTACTCCAGGAAAAAAATCTGCCTCTTCAGTCATGTATCGAAAGATACATGATCGCCTCAGCGTGTATCACGCATGGCACATAACTGACTGATACATAACCTTAGAAAGAGCCAGAAGAAATTTCTTTGGTACATCACGAGGAAAGCGGGCTTGGAAAATTTGATACTCACAGGATAGCTTGAACGTAAGAACGAAAGAGGAAAACAATGCATGACTTACCTAGGAAAGTTGAGTAAATCGGTGGTGGAACAGGTTTTAGGAGAGATAGCAAAAAGACAAAATTCAATAAGAGCAACAAAGGATATGGAATTGTGAAGAATCATGATAGCCAAACCCTGAGGGGGACACAGATAAAGAAGATAAAACTCCAAGGTAACACCAGTGTGTCTATTTTATTCACAATCATTGTCTTACTTCATTTATTCTTTTCAATTTTGTTATGTTGTACACATATTTATCTTTCATTCAAACTCTCGCAGACAGGGACAATGAGGGTCAGACGGCCTTCCTTTCGTTCAATCGATGAAACATTCTAAATCGATATTTCGTCTGCAGTATCGATCAATGATTTTCGCGTCAACAGCCTTGATGTAAAAGGTTGTTCCGAC